TTTGGAATCAGAGTTTTTGGCCAACTCCCCTAGGTGAACTGCCAGTGGTTCACCAACCCGATTATAGCCCCAGATGTCGGCTTTTCTTCCTCTCCTTTTAGTGCAAAAACCCCTCCGCCGCAAGTAGACAGTGAGTAGAACTTCTTCAGCAAAGATTGTTTGAGACGCTTGGTCGTATGGTAATATTTCGCACGAAGTGCAAGGGACGAGTGACTGCCGCAACCCTAGACACTACTCCCCACCCCTTACCAGATACGGACGATTTCGGAGGCATCAATGAGGGTGCTGCAGTAAAGCTCCGAACCACATGCAGGTGTGACCGGCGTGTACAAGACTAAAACGTCTTTGGCGTCGACGGGACGTTGGACTTAAGTTCAAAGGTCGCATGTACTGTGAAACCATTCGTGCTTTGCTCATCAGCGTTCAGTGTAGCTCTCTTCATTGCTATTCGATGATAATGATGAATTTCCTTCTGCTATAAGAAAGATTAATATTTTCTCTCGCGTTATACTGGTGAACAGACTGTGTACTGTTATGGAATTCTTCCGGGAAGCCCTAAAACCGTGTGTTGGAATTATTTTATTTTAGCATGTTTACAATGCGCTCGTATTTCATTCACTTTACTCCTTCATCTAAATTGGCAGTCCTGAGACAGCAACCAGAAACGGTGCAGGGAAGTGCATTACACTTTGTGTGTTTGCATGAAGTACGAGTAGTTGACCTCAGTACTTGCATTTGTCGTTCGATGATTCCTAATACTTCCGTACCTTTCCTATCCGCTACCGCCGGTAACCTTTAACACTTTTCTCCAGTTCTCGTCGATCTTGAATTGCGTCAGTCGAACGCCGATTTGGCTACCTCCTCTAACCCAAATCTGACTCGAGCCGGACTTGATTATTTGGGCATTACCGGTGAGCTGGACCTCAATCAGTCGCGGCGTGGATCATCCACAATCTGTGCTACACGGGATCGAAGTTCGGCACAGGCCACGATCAGCTACAAAGAATTATACGTCCTTCCGTTTTGTTATTATGACCAATTTCGACTGGTAAGTACACCCGTATTTTGTCATATCTCAGCGTTGTGCGTTGATTTAACAACTTGAAGGATTTTCGTCGAAGTCCAATCTATTACAAAAGAAACTCAAAACAAGGAATTTTCTTTTTGCACTGCTTTGATTCTGTTTCCCTTCATTTTCCTTGTTGGATCGATCCGGATCACATGATGATTACCACTCTTCCTCCCCCCCTCACTCTTTCTGTCGTTGGAGCCGGTGCAAATTTGCAGTTTGGTGTCAGTGAGCTCCATGATGCTCCATTTCTATTCTGTATTGGTAATACATGTGCACCACGTTTAGATCAATGAGTTTTATCACTTTCCGAATGGCGTTTATTATTTTCGCCCTTCAATCTCAGTGGGTAACAGACGGTCGCGTTTCTCTTAGGTTTGAAACATTAGTTGTGTGGGCGGTGGTGATCACACACTTTTGATTGGCCTCGCCACCTGCAAAAACCTGACTAAACTTATTTATGTGTGTGTGTGTGTGTGTCTGAGAGAGAGAAAGAGTGGGCGAACCACAAAAGTATCTGAGCATCTTTTCGTAACCGANCGAAAGTTATTGATTTCGAACTAGCCCCGGAATAATTTGGCATATGATCATGGCCCCGTTTTTCCATTCGCACTGTACCCCGATCGCTATGTTGAGTTTCGTCTGCCTAATTCCGATTGCGTTTCTTGTGTGTTTTGTCTCGTTGGGTTGCACTCGCGTCCGGGCTCAAAAAAACTAGTAACAACTTATTTTCGACCCCAGATACGGACTACCAATAACACATAAATCAAACTCTAAATGTTTCACTAGATTTATACCATATCGTATTTGCGTTGCACCCTTTCTTGCGACCTACACATAGAAGTTGTCTGCAATTTTAGACTGTCGCTTAGTCTTTTAACTGTGAGATCAAAAGGTTCCGCTCAATGCCCACCTCCAATTTCTCTCAGGTGCTGCGCAGTTGTCTGGATACTGAATTGGCTCCGTTATGTATCCACGTTTGGAAAAATCTACCCACAGATGTGAGCAAATCCAACTTTGTTTCCAGTCTGCTTCTGGTCACTACCGAGCTTCGATGCCACTTGCAGCTGATTGTCAACCTTTTGAAAAGGGACATAACTGCGGAACAACCGAGTACGTCTTTATCTATTCACACTCGTTCTCTCTCCCTGTGATCAATGCACTTTGCCCGGACTTCCCGGTCAGCTCCCCGATCACAGTGGTCGTTGCACTGTGGTTGTCATTCTGTTTCCAGTTTCTTTGTTATCAATCTGCCGGTTTATCAACAGCTGACACGTATCTGTTTTTTCACAATCAGGTACCATACCCTCCCATGCCCGCACCGTGTGTGTTGTGTCCCTTTTGTCCTCGTCTATAGTTCTCCGACTTTATCTGTTTTTGTCCGCTCCTGTTCGGCACGCGGTTTACTGGCATTGTTCCACTGGGATGGAAACTCACAGTTTTTTTGGTGTGTAGCAACACGGAGGGTGGTGAGGGATGGAGATAGGATAACCGGTCCAAGCTATCCTGCATATCTGAAGTGGTATTTGCTTTGACTAATGTACAATTTGATCGTGACATTCGTAGATTTTTAAATGGATTTGTTAAACGATAGCATCTCTGTGTTGTTGTACCGGACGTGATTAATCCTGGTGGCTAGTAGAATAAACATTCGGTTCAGATTGTGATCGGTAAACCGCACAGTGTCCGTTTTGATTCCAAATTTATTTGGTCAGCTTATGTGATAGATGCAGCACCTTTTAAACTAGAACAAGGAGTTACAACTGCTGACTTTTCTGTCTTGTTTCTATCTGCTCATCATCCTCGTACAGCAAAATACAGTAAAATGAACTTCACTGATCGCTGCCAAATTTGCAACACACACAAATAGTGGTAATCGGTAAGGTGGATAGGGATTGGACTTAATTTGAGGGAGGGTGAAGAAGGTAAACTTTTATGGTCAGCAAACAGGGTAAACAATCGAGCTCTCCATACATACAGTTTCGAGTATTCTGGCCTGATAAGAAATGACAACAAGAACGCCACTGCTGTCGGTTCGCTGCCATATCCTTCAGTGTCTTCAACCAATCAGGTGCGGGGTATGCACGAAACACCTACTGTACTCAATGGCTCTGTGCATTTCTCCATGCCTCGTCTCCACGTCATCTGTTGACCTCCACGTGGTTTCCTCCAACCAGTAGCGGCTACAGCCAATGAAGCGCTGTGCGGCAGACGACAGCTGGACATACGCATTACCTGCCCTAGCCAGCGAAGCCCACTAAAATGGATTCCATGAGCTAGCAAGTTTATCCCTGAAAAACTGGGAAACATAACAGCTTGCCTCCAGATTACTGATCCGTTCGCTCCGTCTCCCGTGATCTTAAATACGTAAACACCGATAATCAAGCACTTCTAGTCGATGTATATATTCTACTTGCAAATTCAAAATCTCACAAGTATGAAGCAAAACTGAACAAACAGTAGCACAGTATACACGACTTTTAACCGTCACGTTCACGCCAATGGTGTTTCAGTCATTCGTACGCTGCTGAAGCCTTCAAAATGCTGGCGGTTATCTCCTTTCCTTCGTTTTTTTTCATT